GCCACCGGCGGGCAGCGCCGCCACGGGACGTACCCCGCGCAGGGGCGCCCCGGCCACGGGTGCCACCGCGTCCTCGGCCGCCATTGCTATCGCCGTACGTCGTCGGCGGCGAGTGGTTGTACTTGGGTTTGGGTTCGTCGTGCTTTTTCTTGGGCTGCTTCTTGCTCACGGTGGCCCAGTCGTCCTGCGTGCTGTTCTCTTCCCAGAGATCGCTCACGGCGAGCGAGATCTTGTCGGCGTCGCCGTTGTTTTGCTTGATGATCTGGACGATGCGGGTGTCGGGCGTGCCCGGCGGGCAGAGCTCGAGGATCGCCGCTACCTACGTCGCCAGGATGAGGTCCAGCGCATGCAGCCGTCGCATCCTACTTCTTTGCTGCTGGGTCGGGCCGCCGACTTGGGCGAGGCCGCAGAGCGCGCTGCGTCCTCGTTGAGCTGCTTCACCTGGAGCCCCTTCTTGAGGAGGTAGTCCCGTCGAGATGCCATCGCGGTCTGTGTTTTTTGTTTGAACCTGTTCCGTGTGCTTCGAAAATATCTGTATTTTAATTCCATTTGCACGCACCACGTGGAAAAACACCTTGAGCTTTGTATGCAATCCACCGCCCGCGCATTATATTTCCGCCAGCTCGGTGTTGGCCACACATTGGCAATAGAAGGGGGAGGTTGGAATTTCGGCCAATCACAAAGCCCACGGCGCCAAGCACAAGATCGCGCTCGCCGACGGGGTCTGAGGAGGCAGCATCGCGCATGGCTGATGCCAAGACGCAGGAAGAAGCTGGGGCTAGAGACACGGCCATGCACGAGGCGTCGTCAAAGCCATGCGCAATGGGATATACAGGCGCATGTGCTATGCGGCCAGCGACGTGGCTAGCCACGCGGCATGGCCATGGCACCTCGGATTGGATCCCAAGCCAAGACCATGATGTCGAGGCCAGCCCTGTGTGCGCAACGAGGCGGGCGGCGGTGGCGAGGCTAGCCATACTGGCCATGACGCAGCGTCGCGAGGCGGATGCTATGCTTACTAGTAATACAGACAGGCTACAACTCGCCGCACTCGGTGATCGTCACGGGCGTCTTGGGCTTGTTCGCAGCGCCGGTCTGAACGCTCTCGATCTTGCGCATCACGAGGAGCGAGGCCGGGTCCAGGAGCTTCCCAAAGACCACGTGCTTGCCGTCGAGCCAGTCGCAGGGCGCACACGTGATGAAGAACTGGCAGCCGTTCGTGTCCACGCCGCTGTTGGCCTACGCACCACACCGTTGATATGCATCAGCGATATGCCAAGCGTACCATTGAGAGCAGACCGGGCTCCGTGTGCTTGTACGCAAAGCTTTCATCGGCAAACTTGTCGCCATAAATACTCATGCGGCCCGTGCCATCGCCCTACGCCAAGCACGAGAAGCATGAGCAGGGCGCGTACTTCTAGCAGTACCTTGAGGAAGTCGCCGCCTTGGATCATAAAGTCGGGAATGACGCGATGAAAATGGCTGCCCTTGTAGCCCGTGGGCATGTCGCCGCGGCGGTACTCGCCCGTGCAGAACTGGCGAAAGTTCTCGACCGTCTTGGGGCACTCGCGCTTGAAGAGCTCCATCTTGATGCGGCCCAAGGGCGCGTTGCCCAGCGCGACGTCGAAGAAGACGACGGGGTTGCCACGCCGGACGGCTTCGCTCAGCGCCGGGTCCATCTTCACTGGAATTGAAGCCAGCACTGTCAAACATGGTTGTTATCGCTTTCAGGAGGTTTTCGTTCGTATCAAAAATCCAGAATATGCATTGTCACAGGCTACAGAGCACAACCACTGCGACGGTCTTTTGCCCGTGGAGCTGCCTAATGACGCACATTGCACGTCATGCGCTTCGAGCGAGATGCGACTACGCTGCACTCTTGGTAGAGCAGAAGCTCCTCTGCGAACCAGTGCCCAGAATATAATTGCAGAACGCCGAGCTTGTCATGGATCACACTAGTTTATCGGTACGGAGATCGTGTTCACACTATTTGTTACTATTTCGGCTTGCGATTTGCGATGACGGCCAAGCCGCTGAGCCCGATCGACATTCCGCTCAAGAACCTTCTAGGTATGCTGGCAGTACCTCGGAGGAACGCGATGCTGTATGGCATCATGCGTCTCTCCAATCCGAGCAGCTCCTGCGGTGCTAACGATATGGTGCTGCGTAGAGGGCCTCATTGACCGCAAGATCGTGTCGCCGCACTGGCAGGACCAGTTGCGCCCAGTGAAAGCTGCGATCGCCGAGGCTCTGGACGCCTTGCCGATCCATGCCAAAGACGTTGTGGCAGGCAAAGGTGCGCTGTGCATCCCACGCCGTCGTTCTTGCTTCACAGCATGCTGGCGATACTAGCGGCAGACGACGTGCTCTACTACGACTGCAAGGCGCTGCTCACGCACTTGGAGGCGTCCGACGAGGCAAAAGCGACCAACTTCTTTGGCCAAGTACGTCGCCCACCGACGCCGTTGTGTCTAACGTTTCTGATCCAGTACACATCGCCGGTTCTCAAGGCGTGGATGGCCATCACCAAGGCGTACGAGGTCCACGCGCTCTTCGCTGCCGAGGCCGCGCGTCGGCTCAACCAGGACGCCACCTTTGAAATGTATCCACGCGATCGACGTCATATGTATTATGCCCTCATCGTATATTGCTTGTGTCTAGTCCAGCGCTGCGAAAAGCCATCGCGCTGCATGAAAAGCACGTCGGCGACAACCACCGCAAGATCGCCGTACGCAAAATACTCGATGAACAATCTGTCTTTCTGTTGACCACTCTTACTATTAATGTGTAGGACTATACCAAAGGTATTCTCGAGTGCAATCGGGCGTTTGCCGCCGCGTGCGCCGACCTCCAGATCCCGGGCTTTGACATCCGCCTCGAGCTCCAAGCTCTCGTGTACGACCTCCCAAGTCTCTTTCGCGGCGTCGCAGGCGTCCTCAACATGCCGACACTGCGCGACGCTGGCGCTTACCATGCGGCGCTGCAAGCCCATTTGCACGCGGCTTCGGCGCCCGCGCTCTCGTCGCTCGACGCCTTCTGGGCCGCGCCCCTCGTCGTGGAACCTACAGGCGTGGCGCCCAGTGCACCGAGCGAGGTCGTCGAGATCCAATGGGACGCAAACACCATCGAGCTCAGCGACGGCGGCATCGATTGGGGCAATGACGACGCTGTCGTCATCGACTGGGACATTTCCTCCGTCAAGACACAGGATGTGCCGAGTCGTAGCAGCGAGCTTGCAACGACCCAAGTCGACCAGCTCTTGCATGGCGAGACCCGCGCCAAGCTCACAAACGACCTCCTGGAGCTTCGCGCGTTCCTCTTGCAAGTACGCGTCCAGCCATTGGGGGATAGGACGAGATTATGGTGATTGTAGCGGCGCATGGAGCTGCAGACGCCCGACGTGGCCTTTGCCAACCAGTTTCAGACAAGCGCCCGTACGGTGTCCAATACGAGCGGTGCTCTCATCGTGCAATGTAGCACTTCTCGCACAGCAAAGCGTCGAGAGCACGAAAGGGTACTTGGCGGCCGTCGACGCAGCCCTCGCCGCACTCCGGGAAAAGCGACTCCAACACGTCTTGCTCATCAAGCTCTCGCCTCGGTGCGGTCGTTCGATACATGTTTTTGATGCTGATGAGATGTGGATGTAGCTACCTCGATCGCCTTGTGGTGACACTCGAGCTGCACATGACCAAGGCCGAGAAGCTCCATGGGGCGATTCGCGCCCTCGAAGACAAGAACAGTGAGCTCACAGACCTTGTTGCAACGAGCCATGCCCAGATCCGAGCGCTCATGACGTCGACCAAGAGCTTGCAAAAGCAGCTCGAAACGTCGCTGCCAGCCCTCTTCAAGGGCCATCCCGTGCACATTTTAGGTGAACTCAACCGCTTTTAACCCACTTTTTCCCTTAAATGCAATAAACAACGAGCAAAACGACGAGCCACCACGCGAGTTGAAGCGGCATGCTGGCGCTGACGATTCGCATGTGAATGTCCGAGGCGCCGACAGAGATTGTGATCGGTGTCGCGCTTGGTGCTGGCTCGGGGCCTCAGTCACGTCGGCCTGTGCCGCTTGCTGGGCCTCGGCTTCTTGGATGAGCTCGTTAAGCTCGTCGTCGCTGGGCAAACCGAGCTCCTTGAGGTAGTCGTCATGGTCCAAGTCAATTTCAACCGGTCGGCGCGACTTCGCCTCGTCGTGCCACGTCGGTATGGTCAAGTCCGAGTCGTCGCTCGTTGCGTTGGTTGCGTTGGAAGTCATCATGGCGGCGCAGCACAGAGACAGGAGTAGCACCAAAAGCACGTCGCGCCACATGCTCAATTGCGTTCTGTGATCAAAGAGTCTCGTAGAAAGCTTAGAGGGACCTATAAACGGGCCACGCGAGAGACGGGCCGGCAGCATACACCTGCAGCAAGACAGTCCATCGACAAAAGCTGGGTCGGCGGGTACAATCGGTATGGTGGACGGGCCATGTCATGGATAACACCCGACGTTGGGACTCGTGCAATGTACCGGTCTACTGGTATCTGCCTCGCGCATGAGGGTGCAGCGCAGTCCCCTTCCACGCAATTTAAGGCTGTCGTCCTTTTCACTTTGCACCTCGACCACGCACGGCCGCATAGCATCCTTGACCACGCTTCACCGCACCCGGGCGTCACTACGCCGTGCACCAGCACAACCAGCTTAGATCTTAGCCACACCAACGCCCGCCTGCGCCATGCAGTTGACCATTGCGCTGGTCGAGGTCACCATGTTGACCACGCTCGAGCGCCAGTATGCTCTCAGTAAGCATCGCGTGACACCGCTTCCCGGCGACCGCGACACACCAGTAGTATACAATACGTGGTAAGCGAGCGCCATGCTTTTGGCCGTCTCCCGGACGACGGCGCATGTGTTGTTCTTGCTACTGCAGCAACAACAAGCGCCTGCCACCAAATTTGATTGCCGAGTACGCCTTCCCGTGCCGTCGATGCCTGCCTCACAGATCTACCCTACCCGCGCTACGACCTCGTCTCCAGCAACAAATGCGACCTCGAGCGCAATCTTAACAAGAGATTTCCCCAGCTCTGCATCAAGACGTTGGTAAGCGGCTCCAGTGCGGTGGCGCAAGCCAATCGACTACTCGCACAATGCTGCAACAGGCACCAATGATAGACTATCAACGAACGATCTAATTACGTGCGAACGACACGGACTGAATGAAACACGCATCCTGTTTTGTTACAAGTGGCGACGACAACATGGGCTAATCGGCGAGGGCAAGGTCAAGCCGCTTCCAAGGAAACTCGAGATCGTCGTTCGCAGCAGCTTTGGCGGGCACGGGGGCTGGTGCACGAGCGCTCTCGGCCGCTGGTGGCTGGCGCGGATTCTGCATCGCACTAGGACGGATGGTTGGCGCAGAGCGCGGCGCCGATCCCTTCATTTGCGGTGTGACACGTGGACGTGGCGGTGACGCGGGCACCGTTGTCGGAACGAGCTTTCCGAGCCACGGGCGCGGTGTTGTCGCGTTGGACGTATTGGTGGCATCCATAATCGCATTGGGGGCGGCCATGGGCCCGTTGCTGCTACTCGACGAACTCGGGCCCGACGAGCTTGATCCAGAAGAGCCATCAGACAAGCCAGGGCGGGACTCGGACAAGCTTCCAGACGGGCTCGCACCCGGTGCTTGCATGGCTTCGAAGCGACTCGCTGGCATGAATGACGTAGGAGCCGTCGCCGTCGCCGCGGTTGGCTTGGGAGCAGCATCTGAACTCGATGGACTGCGGGAGCTCATCGCAGCCTCCAAGGCTGGAGGCGCACGTGGCGCCACGGCTGGTGACGGCGAAATGCTTGCCGGCGCGGGCGTTGGACGATCTACACGGATGATCTCGGACGACAGCTTGGTCGTGTTGACGCCCAGGTTGAAGCCAGGAATGTTGGGCAACCCTTGCCCTCGCACGCCGCCGACCAAGAGACCGGTGAGCACAGCGCAGAGAGAGTAATATCGCATCTTGTTGTCGGATCGGGCAGGTTGGTATATGCGAGCATGGACGCCAAGGACGACCTGCCGCCGTTGTCGCCGTAGGCGGGGCAGCCCAGAGACGAGCCATCGTGATCTTGGTTCGATGTATCCTGAATAGTGTTAGTTTACACTATTACCTATTCCCGAACGTTCCGGGTTCCTTGTGGTGGCCTTTCGCAGCGTCCAATTGGCTAAAAAGGTGACCGTCCTGGGTTGCGATTGGGTGGGAAATTCCTACGGGCGCTAAGAACTTGGCGATCTTTCAGCATTCTTGGTTTCAACGGGCGAAGCAGAATATACGATGGCGCAGTCGTCGGCGCCCCGGAACCTGTCGCGGCAGGACTTCAAGCACGCCAAGCGCATCGTCATCAAGATGGGCACGAGCGTTGTGTCATCGAACGGCGAAGCGGCGCTCGGCCGCGTGGCCTCGATCGTCGAGCAAATCTCAATGCTGAAGCGTCAAGGCAAGGAGGTGCTGCTCGTGACCTCGGGCTCGATTGGCGTCGGGCGCAAGAAGCTCCAGAAACAAATCCTCCTCTCGTCATCGCTGCGTATGCACGTGCAAGGCGACAGCAACATGAACCGCATGCTCGAGAAGAAGAAGGGCGCGATGGCGGCCGCGGGCCAAGTCGGCCTCATGTCGCTCTACGAGACGCTCTTCTCGCTCTACGACGTGGCCTGCTCGCAGGTACGACTCGTGTGTACTGCGATCGGGAGCGTCAGTCTCCGGTAGGTGCTCGTGACCGAGTCGGATTTCAAGACCAAGGAGCACCGCGCCAACATTCGCGACACGCTGCTGCATTTGCTGGACCTCGACGTGATCCCGATCGTCAACGAGAACGACGCGGTCAGCGCCGGCGTCTTTCGCGAAGGCCAGTCGGTGTTTACGGACAATGACTCACTCGCCGCCTTGGTCGCGAGCGAGATCCAAGCCAACTTGCTCATTTTGCTCACGGACGTGGACGGACTCTACAACAAGCCGCCGAGCGAACCTAACGCCAAGGTCATTTCGATCTTCGCGCCCGAGCAACCCGGACAGTTTGTCATTGGTATGCATTGGCAACGAAGATGGCGGCTTCTTATTGTCGCATAGGCGAAAAGTCATCGGTGGGCCGCGGCGGCATGGGTGCCAAGATCCAGTCGGCCCAAGGCGCTGTCGACAATGGCGTCAATGCAGTCGTGATTGCAAGCGGCTTCAAGTATGGCGTGCTGGACGCGATCATGAAGGGCGCGAACCTCGGGACGCTCTTTGTGCCGTACCCGGAGCTTCTCCTCGAGCACAAGGCGTCGGCCGAAGACTTGGCGATTGCGGCGCGCGAAGGGAGTCGCGCGCTTCAAGCGCTCTCGTCGTCGGACCGCGCCCAGATTCTGCGGCGCATTGCCACGTCGCTCTTGGAGCACGCCGATGCAATTTTGCACGCCAACCAGCTCGACTTGAACGACGCCAAGAATGTGGACGTGGCCTTGCGCGCGCGCCTCAAGCTCACGAAGCCCAAGCTCGAGACGCTGGCCAAGGGCATTCGCGCGATTGCCGACCAGCCCGAGCCCATTGGCCGCGTGCTCTCGACCATGGAGATTGCGAGCGGCTTGGTCCTCGAGCAGCTCACGTGTCCGATTGGCGTGCTCTTGATTGTGTTTGAGTCGCGCCCCGACTCGCTGCCGCAGATTGCCGCGCTCGCACTCCGCAGCGGCAACGGCTTGCTTCTCAAGGGCGGCAAGGAGGCGAGTCGCAGCAACCACATTTTGCACGCGCTCATTTGCGACGCAATCGAGTTGGAGACCAAGGGCCGCGTGCCCCGGGGCGTGCTCGGGCTCATTGCGACGCGCGACGACGTCACGGAGCTCCTCCAGCTGGACCATGTGATTGATTTGTGCATTCCGCGCGGCTCGAACGCGCTTGTGACGTTTATCAAGAAGCACACGCGGATTCCAGTGCTGGGCCATGCGGAGGGCGTCTGCCACATGTACATTGCGGCCGGCGCCAACATGGACAAGGCGCGGGCACTCGTGCTCGATGCCAAGACGGATTACCCGGCCGCCTGCAATGCGCTCGAGACGCTGCTCATCGATGTGTCGCACGTCGAGTCGGGCGCGGTGCACCCCCTCGTCGAGGCGCTCCACGATGCAGGCGTCAAGGTGTATCTTGGCCCGAACGCGGCTGCACGCAACGTAGTGCCGGGGGCCGAGCCCGCGCCGTCGCTCTCGCACGAGTATGGCAGCTTGGCGCTCACACTCGAAGTCATTTCCACGGGCCTCGACGGTGCGATCGCCCACATCAATGCGCACTCGAGCGGCCACACGGAGACGATTGTGACGGACGATGTGGTAGACGCCGAGCGGTTCCTCAACGGCGTTGACAGCGCGTGCGTGTTTCACAATGCGAGCAACCGGTTTGCGGACGGGTTTCGGTTTGGCCTCGGCGCCGAGGTTGGGATTTCGACGGGGCGCATTCACGCCCGCGGCCCCGTCGGCGTCGAAGGCCTCTTGACGACCAAGTGGAAGCTGCGATCCCAGACAGTGCATACGGTCACGGCGTTTGCCAATGGCCACGCGACGTATACACACAAGCGTCTGAGCAAGTTGTAGATTCCATGTCGTCGCCAATCCCACTTTTGAGCGTTTTTTATATCGGCGTCCCCTAGCCCAAGAGTACAGCAATTCAGAGTCTCAATTGAAGTCAAGTGCTCGAGCCCTAGCCCCATGCATTGATATGACTATGGACCTTGTCGCAAGTTATTGGCAGATCGACTCGACTACTGCCACGTGGTAGACGACAAGCTCCTGGGTTGCTGTGTCGAACGCGACGGACTAGAAAGGCCGGTGCGGTCAGTAGCCGTGTCGAGCCCACACCGGTTTCGACAAGTTGCACCTCATAGCAAACATGCTGAACCTGCTGGGGGAGCGGTGTGGCAAGCTCCACTCGCCTGTTGCAGGAGAAGGGGAGTCGCTGGAGAAAGGTGCGACAGAGGTTGACGGGTGGCTGATAAAGAAAGGGACAGTACCTCCTTCTTATCTCCAAATACAATCCTCCTGATTCCATGGCGGAAGCGACCGGCAATGGTAGTAGCATCAACGCTTGTCGGATCAAAAGTAAGTTCGTACAAAGTAAACCAACGATAAATAAATACTACGCGCAAACAAAACATACGCTAAAAGGTCATCTCTCGGGGCAGTGGCTTCCCAGAGGCATCGACGGCGGGTTCCGACGCCCGCGCGGCCATGATCGAGAGACGCATCTCGTACGTCTCGGGTGGGTGATCCAGGAGGCTTGGGACGCGGAGCGCGACGCCACCGTAGCTCCCGCGGTGCGTCGCGTCGGCGCCAATGGACCCGCGCGAGCTCTCAAATACAAGCGACGACCGCTGCCCAGGCGATGCTTCGACAATCACAGATGCGCGCGGGTGCGTGGCGTCCATGAGCTGCGACGAGCGCTGGGAGCCAAGGAGCGTCGACTCAAGGCGTGTGATCGACGCTTCGATCGCGTCATCGAACGGTGTCAGGATCGGCGGCGACCCCGCCGCGCTCTTTTCAGACATCCTCTTGGACATTCGGTGCTTGGCGTGCAAGCCTAGCATGATGCAGGCGCCAAGCAGCCCGATGGCGGCGATGACGCCGCCGACGACACCGAGGACACCGCCGCCCACATCTTTTGGCTCCATTGGTGGTGGGCTCGCCGTGCTGGGGGCTGGTGGGACCACGCTGTCTTGAGGTTTAAAAATCGGAGCAGGAATCGGGTACGAAGGTAGGGCCATCGTTGGACGTGTTTCGATGGGTGGCATCATGGGCGGCGCCTCCGTGACCGAGTGGGTCGCCTCGGCGACTGCAGTGGTTGCATCAGCCACCGCTGTTGGGGTTGCTGTCCATGGCGTTGGTGCTACTGTTCGCAAGAGTGGCGGCGGTGTGTTTTCGGGTGTGCTCGTTGTTGCGGCTGGCGGTGGCGTCGGCGCTGGTACCGGCACCGTCGATCCCACAACCGTGGTGTTGGGAAAGGTGATCGTCTGGGCGACGGCGGCATGGGCAAGCGGGACGAGCAGGCCCAGTCGCATGTTGCTAGAAGGAGGCAATTGCGAGACTGTTCCTATCACGACTCGGATCGCACCGCTTCAACTTCGTCGCTCCAAGCGTCAGATTTCTCTTTCAATCTTGAACCGTGCGCATCTAGTTAATCACCCATTTCTAATGTCGGAAAACTAACCGCAATTGATCTTTGTAAGATGTATTCCGTTGAAAAAACGCGTTGGGTCCACAAGGTGCTGGGTCGAATACAAACGAACAATGAGATTTGCGAATTTCTCGTTGCCGACGCGCAACGAATAAAAAGCCGCGGGAACCTGGGCCCATGTTTGGATTGACGGGAGGAGGCCATCCCCGATGCCTTTGCCCGTGTCAGAAGAGCTCTGTGCCATGCACTCTCATCCGTCCAACGACATAAGGCGCAGTGAGCTATTATCTATCAGCCGCGACTATCAGCAAGCAGGGCTGTGCCAATGCTGCTTGGAAGCAAAATCGTCCTACTCTTGCGACCGTGCGCACACGTACATAAAGAGTAGCACCGGTTGAGTAACCTCCGTCATTGACACAACCTGCGCAAGCGAGAATTCGGCGCACACCAGACAAGCAAGCATGGAATCCGTCGTGGGTTGCCTCGTCCCAAAAAACAAAAAATGCCCTCGGGCTTGTGCGAGATGGATGACATGCGATGGTCGGCGACAGAGATCTGTGTCCGTCCATGTACGTTGCTGGCCTTGTTGCTGAGAAAACAATGTCATTTGACGCGAGGACACATGACATAAGCATACCTACAGTAGTACTAGCAACTTGCTATAGTACTAGATACGCTTGCCTTGAAGGGCGATGTATCGTGGTGAGAACGCGAGACTGCGTGCAACACCACGCAGTCCATCGCAATGCTACAAACCTTGATTCCTCTGTACAAAGGCAGCGTGCGACCGGTGCTAGGCCAGGTCCAGACACGCTGCGTACATGAACAAGGTGAGCCAAGCCTCGATCATCCGCTTTGTTGCTACGACCATGTAACCTAAGAGAGGCAGTCTAGCCGGCGCGATGGAGAAACATCGACAGTGCTTTTATCATTTCCACATCCTTTACCTTGTAAAACCATGTCAGCAAATTGCTCATTTACGAGATTCTCGGGTCGAGCGCCGTAGTCCGAGTCCAAGGACGGTTGTCGTGGCCGTCCTTGGACCAGGTCGCAGGGAGATGCCGGAAGGTTTCTGTGGCCGATTCGGCTGCTCGCCTCGGCCCGAGGTGCCATCTTATCGTTTGTGACTAGGTAGAGTGATCCAGGTGAAGGCTAGCAGCGCACCTCCCGCCGTCGACGACTGTCATATCGCCATGTCCGCGTGACCTCGGCGTCGGGTACAATTGTACCTGCAAGTGTTGCGTTTGGCGCGCCGCGTATCCGGAAGCACCGCCAAACGTGCGGATACGACAGGTTGGGCCAACGATGAACAAACGATGCCACGCATCAGGCCGGCAAGATTCGCAGCGCGGTCATGACGAGCTGCTACGCCAGGCTGGCGTGGGCGCCCAAGGCTGCCGTCGTGAACCCGCGCGGGATGGAGACGTGGTGAAACCGCTCGACTTGAAATAAGTTATTTCAAGTCGAGCGGTTTCGCCACTTCGTCGACCTTTCTAGTGCCAAAGTACTAGTATGGTCGGGTCATGGGGAAGAGCGAGAAGCGACATGCCAGAGTCTATCAGCGCGATGTCTGCATGGTCCGAACATCGCTTGCAGTCGTATTCTCGAGCGGTGCAATCAGACCCAATCGACTGTAGCACCGGGGCTAAAGTTACGGTCGTGCTGCCGAATAACTGCTCGTGCATCGATAGTCGCTGCGCCAAATTGCCGGTAGGTGCCACCATCTCCCACACGACAACCAGCAAGCATGGCCAAGTCAATTGCTGCTGGCATCTCGGTGGACAGTGGCATCGGACCGGGATCTGCTACCGGGGCACACGCCGGAGTACAGCAGTCGTCGTCGTGTCGCCTGAGACTGGTCGCGTGGGTCGTTTATATCGGCGGCAGCGATAGGCGATGGGTGGTGGTTGCCGCGCAGTTCTACGTCACGCGATGCGCCTGACGCGTCGTCGGGATAACGTGGTGCAACGTACCGGGTGGAGCTAAAAACACGCCCCAGCCTTGTGGGGGTCGTCGAGTATCTTCTTGACCGCGCCCCGCCATCGCATTGATACCGATTCGATCGCTCTGAAAGATCGCGCATGGCGCCGCAGCCGCCGGTGCCTGGCGCCGCCTGGGTACCTCATCGAGGTGAAAGCCACCCAACGCATATCGGTGACACCGCGACCAGCGAAAGCGCCTCCCTGTCTTTGTTGCCCGTGGGCCTCAACAGGTCAAGTCACCTTGTTTAAGGCAATCGTTTCGAGCTTGGCCAATCACATGGCGTATTTCGGTATCTGACGGCTGCAACCCATTGCAGTTATCCCAGCCTCGTGCATGTCGCACCCACTCAATTCGCCGAAATGAGTACGCCCACAAGGCAGCCATTGGCTTGCGGCTCATTTCCACATTCGCCATGGCCCACGCGCCCGAGCCCGTCCGGCCGCTTGCGGTCGCGCTCGTGCTCTGCGTCTTGCTCTCGGACATCCTCTTTGCCGGCCTCATCTTTGGCTGGGCGCCGCTGCTGCTTCTGTTGCAAGAGGAGGACCAGTATGGCGAAGTGTGCACGGCGCGCGACGTCAACGGCCGGTGCGCCGACCAGGACGCGCGCCTCAACATGATGTACGCGATCGCGACCTTTGCGGTCAATGTCATCTCGCTGCCCGTCGGCACGATGCTCGACTTTGTCGGCCCGAAGCGCGCCATCATGGTCGCCGCGTGCCTCGAGATCCCGGGCCTCGTGCTCCTCGGCCTTGCCGACTCCAAGTCGTTTGACGTGTTTGTGCCTGCGTACTTGCTGCTCGCGATGGGCGGCTGCATTACGATGATGGCATCGTACCCCGCGAGCTTTCTCATTTTATCGCACCAAACGACGATCCTCGCGAGCATTAGCTGCCTCTTTGACAGCTCCAGCGCGATTTTCCTCGTGCTCTATTCGATCCACGAGACGATCGGCTGGTCGCGCGACAGCCTCTTCATTGGCTACGGTGTGCTCAGCGTGCTTGTGTACGTGGCGCTCATTGCTCTCTGGCACGTCAACGAAGCGTACCTCCCGACGAGCGAGCCGGTGTTGGAAGAGATCGCGGCCGAGCGCTCGACGGTCGCCTCGCCGCTGCTGGAAAACGCTGGCCACGCGTACGGCAGTGTCGCCGAGACCAAGGAGCTCTTGCCGCGCATCGACGTGCCTGCGTTCGAGCACGAAGCGCTCTGCGACTACCCGCTTTCCAAGCAAGTCCGGACGTTCGAGTTTGCCTTTATCTTGGTCTTTACGAGCCTCCACATTCTGCGCGCCAACTTTTACATTGGCACGACCAACAACTTGCTCGAAAACTACGGCGACGCGGCCCACGGCTACCTCTACACCAAGATTTTCGGCTTCGTCCTCCCGATGGGCTTCCTCTTCGTGCCCGGCATCGACTACTTTGTCGAGAAGAAGGGCCTCCCGATCTCGCTCCATTTCACGACGTGCTTGGGGCTCGCGGCGAACCTCCTCGCCCTCGCCCCGGTCTTGCCGCTGCAGTCGGTCGTCTTCTTCATCTTTACGGGCTTTCGCGCCTTCTTGTATGCGGTCATTGCGGCGTTTGCGGCCAAGATCTTTGGCCTTGCCAACCTCGGCACGATCGTCGGCCTCATCTTCACGTCCGGCTCGCTCGTCGGGCTGCTGCAAATCCCCGCGGTCGCCTACTCGCTCGACATCAACGACTTGGGTCCGATGTACATGGCGTCTGCAGCGCTCGCGCTTGTTCTGGTGCCGCTCACCGAAGTGTACCGCCGCCGCGCCGCCGATCGGGCCCGCCGCCACCTCGTCGCGTCCGAGTCGCCATTCATGGACATGAAGGGCATGCAGTACCGCCGGTCGCCGTGCTTGCCGTCGCCGGCCGCGCGCAGTGGCCGCCGCCAGTCGCATCGCGATGCCGACGTGTAATAGATCCTAGACGCCTCCCTTCTATCACTACACATGTCGTTTGCATTTTGTGTTTCCAAGAAGAGGAATCTGCATCGCATTTCCGCGTCTCCATGGCGTCCTTCCTCCTGCGCGCAAGTGCTGTACATGGATGCAAGGGCCTCCCATGGGCGGCAAAGGGCCGCTTATCACGACTGGTGCTACAACTGTATGATGCTACCTGCAATCGCAGAGTACAATACTGGCTCTACACGCAGGCTCGCCGCGAAAGCACGCGTCGCGATGCCGATCCTCGTGTCGTACAGTTAGTTTGCTACACGGGTGGCGAGACCGTGTCTCACAGAGCCACAGCGCTGTGCAGAGTGTGGAGGCGGCGTGACCTTGTTCCTGGAGGCGGTCGTCATTGCTACTGCCACGCGTTGGTCGATGGAACCTGGACACAGTGCACATGGAATAGTAGAGTCGGTATTGTGTTGATAAGTCTGTCGTGGTCGACGCACCCCTTCGATTGGTGCGCGTCGCCGCCACGGCGTATACATAAGGTGAGAAGGGACGCGCCTTAGAGCTCGGCGGTGCGCG